CTGTACCATATACCACAAATTTAAGATGTCAGACTCGCGTATTATTCTGTTACAAAACAGAATGACCATTTGAGAGCAGTTTGAAAAATATGGAAAACACTAACCTAAAGCTTACAAGTGTATTAAGGTGATTCCCTAAAAATAGCACTTGACATTACATTTTTCAAACTTTTTGTGGTTGTTCCTAATAATGCAGGCATTCGAAATGTGCGATAAAAAAACACATGGTACGGTGCCCATTTAAGAGTCATAACTCACCAAAGGTGCATCAAAAATCTGTGCAATGGCACCCATTAAGTGTGTTTATCTTTTTTTCTGAATACCGGTGTGTTTTAGGATATCAGTAGTCAAACACATGGATTTGATATTAAAAAGTCTCCATAGATACATTGCATCATCTTAAAGGAACAATTTGATATGTGTTTCTTGGCAAAAATGTACATCTTGGATCAGAGTTGACAAAAAGTCTTTCTAGTGTACATCCTCTAGGGGTGGTAAGGTTCAGGTCACAAGTGAAAGGGTAAATAACCATTTTTGACAGTAATTTTTTTACCTGACATTAAAAATTTTTCTTACTTATTCAGTGGAAAGGCAATGAATTATAGACTAATTTAATGCAATAAAAAAAGGTACCTTACAGTGCTTGTTTAAGAGAAAACAAGCATTTATTTTGCTGTCGAGCTTAGCTAATTGATGGAAATCTCTTAAGTTGTATGTGTGCATGCGCTCATGCGCTCACGCTAATGATGCTAAAATCGTGTGCAGTAGGGATGCACAATGCAACACTGAGGAATTACCTTAATTAAAAAATAGAAAACATGTACCGTGTTTCTATCAAGTAGTTGTATAAATCTAATAGCGTTCTATCACAAAAGCCATTCTCTTATTGGCTACGTTACTCGCTATCTATTCTGTGACAGATAATGAGTAGCGTAGAAGTGTGTGCTTGTTAACAGACAGATGGCCACTTTTTTTTGCATTTTCGAGGTCTCTGTGAAGACTATTTAGATAAAGTTTTGAACAAATAGTAGATTTATACTAAAACAATTAGATTATTTGCTCTCGATTTCTATGTGTCACAGTTGACTTGGGCTGCGCCATCGTCACCTATCACGCAATAGAGATCTCGAGCTCATAATCTAATTGCTTAATAGAAACACAACGGAAGTTTGGGAGAACAAGAAATGCTGTGGGAACACAAGCTAACAGACAAGGGTTTCCAGAACTTTTTTGAATTCTCCCAAACTTTCATGAGTTCTCCCAAACTTTTTAGAAATACTGTGACGAAAAAATGAAACACAACTTGTTTACTTTAATCATCAAAATGTAAATTCTCTTTGTTCCCACCATCATTAAATCAACAGCTCGTGCCAATTCTTTGTTTCTAAGGAGTTTTTTTACAATAACTGTCTAATTTCTCGCAAGCTGATTGGCTCATTTTTATCATCAATAAAAGTACAGAGAGAAAAAACTTTAATTTATGCAAGATTTCAAGTCCAACTTTCAGCTGTCAAACTGACAACTTTTTAACCAATGAGACTTTATGGACTTTTTTAAGTAGCCAATCAAAAAGTGAGAAAAGCTATTGACAATGTTCCCATGATTTTGAATAAAATTCACCTATCTTTGTTTATGGCAAGTTTACAGCATCTTTTCCCCTCATTTATTCCCAGCATTTGACCATTTTGGGGTCTTGCTATTGTAAAAAACAAATTGATGTCAGTTTTTTATGCGTCTGTCCCCTTATTGATGATAAATTTCATCATAACATTGTCAAAGTTTACTGCAGAACCACTCGCCTGTGGCTCGTGGTTCCCCAGCCACTTTGACAATGTTATGATGTAATTTATCATCAATAAGAGGACAGACGCATGAAAAAAATGACGTCAATTTGTTAAATAGAAACACAATTTTAAACCAGTCAGCACGCATATTTTTGTTTAAGTTTATGGCATCCATGAACTAATGTTAATGAGACCTGAGAGACAATATCTCAAAGACAGGCACACACATTCTGCATTGTAACACTTTATTTCAAAGACATGTAACACTATGAACCTTGTGTCACACGCATAAGTAAATCCCAGTAATATGGGTAACATGCCACCAATTCCTGATCTCAAAGTCCATCAGGGATTCCTAGTTGAAAACAATCACCCCCTTTAGATATCACAACAAACCTTTCATTTCCTAAGTAAGGCCACTGTTATCTACATCTGTAAAAGACAGTGTATCAATGGTTCCAGTCATGTCTCTCACATGTCCACCTCATGCCCCTGACCTCTAGTCAAGTACACGCTCCTCATTGTATTCAGTCTTCTTGTTTGTGCCAATCCTTCGCCATTGATTTTTCCTTTTCCCTCCCACCCTCCCACGACTGGGACCCTTGCTCTACACATCTGAACCCCTGATACTACGCTTTAGGACCATCTTCCAGCAAATAAACAAATCATTTAGATCTATAGAAACGTTCGTCATGAATAAGGCTAATAATCTGTCTCTCCCAACACACACACACACACACACACACACACACACAAAGTGGGCGCAACCTTTGACACTACAATTCAGAATGTCATGTATAGATAGTGAACATTACTATTCCACTACTTTTAGAAAAACATATATCCGTAGATACTTATGATATCATTTGCTTATTATAAAAAAAAATAAATAAATAAAAAAAAAAAATAATAATAATAATAATAATAATAATAATTATACCATTAATGATTATAGGCTATGGCTATCTGTCTCTCTGCAAGCCTTAGACCTTGTCATTCAGGGTGCAATGAACACAGACTTTGTATTTTGGTGACTTTCTGTTGTTTGTTATTAAAGGACGGTGGCAGGGAAGTACACCCATTAGCTGCACTTTACCCCACAGTAAGGCTCTAGCCCACTGGAGACAGGTCCAGAGAAATTCCTATTCCAAGGTGGCTAGCCCCGGTACCACCTGATCTGTACTCCCCCCAGGAGGGGCTCCCCCTCCTGGTTCCCTCAGTCCCCCGGGACTGTGGGATATGGGCCTCACCCCTGGAGGCAGGTCTGSAACTTTTATTCCAGGGTGGCTACCCCCGGTACCACCCGATCTGTACTCCCCCAGGAGGGCCCCCTTCCTGGGCCCCTACTCCCCAGTCGTCCTTCCCTGCCACCCAAATTTACCCACAGCCAGTGTGTTATTTCCTAAATGTAGTACCGTTAGCGGCAGCTCAGACCAGGCCTCGAAAGAGGATCATTAATTTGGACTATTTTCTAAATGGCCTTTATAATAATCAACAATAAATTGTCAGTATAAAAATGACTGTCATTGGTTTCAACAGCGTGCTATATGAGACCTCAAGTGGTGTGTTTTTATTAAAGGAGTTCAGACACTCTTTCAAAAGATTTACAAAACAAAATACTGTTTTGATACAGTTGTATCATATGATCTGTGACATCATCCTGTGTCCGCAAATTCAGATTAAAACTTGTTGAAGCCAATCTCTACAAATGTAAATGTTCAACCTTGTTTTGTCCTGTTTTAGAAAACAGCCTATAAGAATATCTAACTTGACGGAAATACAGAACTAGCTCAAGCTGTTGACTTAATGATGGTGTGTACAAAGATAATTTACATTTTCATAAAAGAATTTAAGAGGGGATTTTCCTTCCTTCTTCTCACAGTGCCTTCTAAAAAAAATAGAAAACATGTTCCTTTTCTTTCTATCAAATTATATGAATACTCAAGTTTAGCGCTGAAAACACAGCTTGTCTTCCCACCACATTCCTTATTCTTCTGAACTTCCAACCTTGATTATATAACTTGATAGACAGAAGGAAAATGTAAATTTTCTATTTTTTACATGAAGCACTCAAGGAAGTGATGTGAGTACTCAAGAGGTAGGTAGGAACACTTTGCTGTGGTTTATGTTTCACCCTGCATTTCTTTTGTACTCTTGTCACTATCTCACATGCTTTACAACCAGAACAAAGCACTGTCAAGCTGTTTTTCTTTGCTAAATTAAGCATTGCTTTGCTTTGTTCAGTAGTAAAATATATTTGTTTCCGACGTCTTCCCATCTTTGTTATTTGCAATCAAATCACACCAAACCTACAGTAAAGCTACATATATACTGTAACGATCTTTACATATTTGTTACAGCAGGAAATGTGCCATTTATTGTTCTAAGGGAATTACTGCACCATCAGCTCATTTTAAACACACTGTGTTTGATAGAAAATACTTGACTGAAACCACCTATTCCTTAACATGTCATTTAAAACATCGCAAAACCCCTTCACAACAGAGCGATAAAATCACAATTACCACACCAAAGTCTGATTGTTTCATGTTCCGGTGAATGTAAGCTCACATTGTTCAGACGTCTAAGGTAAACATGCATGTATGCAGCGCTTAGTTGTAGTCTCAGGAAACGAAACTAGAACCTGTAAAACATATGTTGTAATGTAATAGCTGGGTAGCAAGTTGACTTCAGTGCTTCCAAACTTTTCCATGAGCAATGTGGCATAATCCAGCGTGCCATCTATTGTCTCAGGCTAGTCTTCTTTAAGTGAAATTTTGGTCAATCGTAGAGCCATTGCGGGCTCAAAGCCATGTGAAAAATACATCTGTTTTCTCCGCTATGACTTGAGTTCAAACACGAAATCAGTAAAACATTTTGAAAATAAACTCTATTACTTCTCTACTACTATTGAAAAGAGACAAAGCCAACCTTCTTGTACGGGTTACCCCTTGTCCTTCTTGTTCAGAGCAATCATCCATCCATGTAAGAACCCTACCAGACGTGATGAAAAGATTAGAAAGCGAAGGAGACGCAAAGCATGAAACCGAAAGGAAAAACTGATATTATTACTGACATTGAAAGAATAAATACCTGTTTGTTTGTGTTCCTTCGTAATGAATAGTTTTCCGTTGCCCGAGATGTATTCAATCGCGAAAGAAGCTCAGTTCTCACCTTTCTTGATGAAACTCAAGACTAGATGGATGACAACAGCGATAGCTCTTCAGATCAGCGGTACTCTTGGAAAATGATGAACTACTTTGTTTACGGTGGCATAACATGTCATTATCCTCACACGTGACTAAAAAAAAAGTATGTAACTCAACCGTACCACAAATCAGTGAGCAAACCTCAAAGGGTGCCTGTCGTGTCTGATAGATATGTAGACGCTCTTTATAAAAAACAAAGCACTGCTACGAATATGCTGACAACCTTGCATCCCACCCGTGTTAGTATTCTTCGCACGTATTCTAATTATATTGATAATAAAAATGCCTGAAACTAAATTCTTCCACAAATGAAACTACAGCTTTATAGTGGACCTAATGGTAAAAGAAATAAAAAAATCAACTGCACTTTGTTCTTTTATAAACACGTAAGAAGCAAGAAGAGAAGACAATCATTCCCCTGTTGCTCGTGTTTGTCCCCTATTTTTCTGTCACTATGTTCACTTCCTTGTGTCAGTGCTTTCCGATCAAGACTAAACAAAGTCTGCAAAGTTATTGGTTTCTAAAGAAACTGTTGAGCGGCGACGGCGGGCCAGTGAAACACTTAGCTGTTTATCAACCTGAAGTTGGTTAAGGTAGTTTGACCGCCATAGTGAGTTATATGGTGAAGCCGACGTTTTGAGCGCTAGGCCTTAACTTCGTCAACGCAAAGAGTGACGAAAGTGGGGAAGTGTCTTTATATAGTAAAGCACGGAGTTGAGCTATTAGACAGAAAATGCGTGACGCCTAAAAATCCAGGACTCTGTTTCAGGTCGTCCTTGGGTATTTTAAACTTAGTGAAAATTATGTTCTGAGAAACATGATTGTGAAGTTTGAAATGGTGCTTGTTGCTCGATTTGTTGAGCATGACTGATCTACTCCAGCATTCACAGAAGAATAAAACCATTCCTCTAATTGTGCAAAAGACGAAAAAATACCCACTAAAGTTTAATCTCTTATTTTTGTTTCGCCAAATGACAAAATATATCATTTAGGCCGGGTTGGTCGAGACTCGAAAGCCGGTTAACGCTAACCCAGGATTAACTGATATATATTGATTGTTCTTGTAAATGTTTTTCACTGCTTATGTTTTCGGTACTTTGAGATTAATCAAAGTCAAAACAGAAGGCAAAACGATAACAACAGGAAACCTTACCGCAAAGTTACAAAACTAAATTGAAATCAAAATTCTTGCTAATCCTGGGTTAGCTTAATCGGGCTTTGAACAAGCCGGCCCTGATCTCCCTGGCCAGTCATCGTCATAACATGTCGTAGGTCTTTTCTTTTTGTCTCCATAGTGTATCACAAACTTTGGAAAGCTTCATGTGATCTTTACGAGATTTAGTGCCGAATTGCATTTCACGTTGAATTGTATAAAAGTTATAGTAGGGTAAGTTATTCAATCTACCATTGATTTTTTTTCTTCCTTTCTCATCGATTCCATTGATCTGTACAGGCCCGCAAATGATCCCCAAATTGTACCGCAAATGATCCCAGGACCGGAAATGGTCGCCTTGCGATAAAATTTGGAAATTCGAGGACTCGGGAACAGTGGATTTAAAATTTATGCAATCGCTTTTTTATTACTGTACCCTGGGTGCCAGAAGTTTTTCTTGCGCGGTTTCCGGTGCCGGTCATGTCTCTACTGTGACCCGCGCGAAAAGCCTCTGGAGCAGAGCGCGATTTCTTTGACAGCGCCGAGCCAATGACGAGTCAGTTTAAATCTGTTAGTCCAGAATCTGGACTAGAAACCTGATTGGCTCATAAGGACAGCTGTAAGGACCTCCCATTTCTATGCGTCACAATTGACTTGGGCTGCGCCCTCATCACCTATCACGCAATAGAGATCTCAAGCTCATAACCTAATTACTTAATAGAAACACAATGGAGGTTTGGGAGAACAAGAAATGCTGTGGGACCACGAGCCGACAGACGAGGGTTTCCACAGCTTCTTCGAATTCTCCCAAACTTTCACGAGTTCTCCCAAACTTTTTAGAAATACCGCGACGAAAAAATGAAACACAACTTGTTTACTTTGATCATCAAAACGTAAATTCTCTCTGCTCCGCCATCATTACATCAACAGCTCGTGCTAATTCTGTATTTCTATGGAGTTTCTTACAATAACTGTCTCAATTCTCCAATGTGTGTTCTTGAGATTTTCGACTTGTTACTTTCGTGTATACACCAGGGGCCCGTTTCTCGAAAGCCCCGTAAACTTTTCGGGCCCGTAAAGCCATTTTTAGCTCATCTGTATCTAAAAACGAGAAGCGTATACGCCTGAAACTTCTTGTATGAAGGGAACCTCTGTTCATATTAAAAATATGTGAATAAAACAGCTCTGTAATGGTTAGGTTCGAGATTTTGCTATAGCTTTCCGGGCCCGAAAAGTTTCCGGGGCTTTCGAGAAACGGGCCCCAGGGGACTCACAACAACAACTCAGTGGGGCGATACAATTTTATCAAACGTCTCTTGTCAAATCCCGTCGGAAAAACAACTAAAACGTCTTCTTCTAAGCAAGTGATTCTTCAGATGCATTCCATCTGCTTTTCCTTTTAGGATATGACGTCAGCAAAAATTTGAAGAGATGAAGTTAAAGCAGCTGAAAATTTGCTGTTCAGCTGTGCACTCCGGCAGTCGCCAAAAACGGCTTCGTGAATTTTGAAATTGAACCGGAAGTCAGATACGGAACCACATACCCACATTCGGGATTATTTTCCGTTTGTTACTTCTTCTTCAATATAGCATATGCACAAGTGAACCCGCTCTGTAGCTGTCAGCCTTCAATAGCTGTCCTAGTAGATCGGAGCTAGTCGCGGTAGGCGAAAATTGGCACTTCCCAAAGTGGTATGGTTTTTTCAGTATTTAGTATATTTATATTTATTATATTTATTATATATTAGCCGATTTCGCTTATTTTCTCTTATTTCCCTAGAGCATACGAGAGATCTTTACTGAGTCACGTAGGAGAGCAATCAATCGTGTCTATTAATTTATTTAATTTATCTGATTTATTTTGAACTGATCCTTGATCCTTGATCCTTGATCCTTGATCCTTGAATCCTTGATCCTAAGTATGGTGCTAATCATGCAGCTTTATGCATAATGACTTTATTGTATGAAAATATCCCTGTCTATTGTTCGTTTACACAATACACCTGATGTTGCATATTTTTCTAAACACTTCGGATCTTTCCGACTATTCTCCACAAGTGTGAGATCGTGTTGGTCTTTGTTTAAAAACTTCCGTGACACATGATAAATTTCTGCCTGCAAATGATTAAACTGCAATGCCACTGGCTTGTGAAAAACTTAATGAACGGTCACGTACCATTTGTGCTAATATTATTGCACTCTCCCATGCGAAGTTCTTGTCAAATGTTTTCTCGTTTCTTCTGAAACGAGGTAGCTTCAACTCTTGTCCGAGCTTGCCGTGACCAAGCACACAGTAAACATAGTTTCAAGCAGATACAAAAAGCATCAGTCGGCAGACCTGTAAAAAGTGCAAAACCTACTCTACAAAGGAAAGGTAAGAAAGCAAAGGTCGTTTGCCGTCCTTGCCGATTGGTGATCAATGAAGTGCTTGTCTATGGCCGTTATTCGTCTACATGCACACCTTTAAAATGGTTTAATAATATAATATTCTTAGATCGTGAAGTGACATGTTTTCCTTGGGGGGTACTCCCTTATATGGGATGTATAGGTATGTGCGGCCCCAAAGGGTACGGTTTTTCAGCCGTTTTGGTCATAAATAGGGTTTTTACAATAACTGCTTAATTTCTCTTGCTCTGATTGGTTCATTTTTTTCATCAATAAGAGTACAGACGGACAAAATTTTAATTTATGCAAGCTTTCAAGAGGGGGGGTGAATAGGTTTTCGGATTGACGGATTTGGCCTTAAAAAGCGCATGGATTGTGGATTTTTGCGGTAAATCGAGCGGATTCGCCATGTATAGCCATGTATAGCCTTGTATGGTATGCATGGCCATGTATAGCCGTGTATTGCCACGTAGCTCCATGTATAGCCAAGTATTGCCATTTACAACCATGTGTAGCCAGGTAGAGCCATGTTTTGTTATGTGCAGTGATGTAAAGACATGTATAGCCATGTATAGATAGATATGTAGAAAGAAAGATAGATATATAGAAAGATAGATAGAAAGCCATGTACAGATAGATGTATAGATAGATGGAAAGATCATTCTATAGCGATATCACTACCACGTATAAACATGCATATTCATGTATAGCCATGTGTCAGTAGCCGTGTGTAGCCATGTATTGTCAGCTATAGCCATGTTTTGCCATCTATAGCCATATATAGCTATATATAGCGAGGTGTAGCCATTTATAGCCATGTATTGCCATGTATTGCTATGTATAGCTGTGTTTAGCCATGTGTAGGCATCAATTGCATTTAGCTGTTATTAACATAGCTTAGTCATCTGTGTGGAAGAATCATCACTGAGCTCGTGAGTACAGACCGAACGCAGTGAGGTCTTTACACACGACCGAGGTATAGATTCTCTCATACAGACTGAGTAAGCTCAGTTAATAAAATGTCTATTATATGGCATGCCCACACACGGCTATACATTGCTATACATGGCAAAACATGGAAATACATGGCTAGACATGACAATATATACATGGCTACACTTGGCTACACACGGCTATACATGGCTACACACGGCTATACATGGCAATACATGGCTACACACGGCTATACATGGCTATACAGGGCTACACACGGCTATACATGGCTATACATGGCAACACACGGCTATACATGGCTATACATAGCAACACACGGCTATACATGGCTACACATGGCTATACATGGCTATATATGTCTAAACACGGCTATACATGGCTATACATGGCTATACATAACTATACACGGCTATACATAGTTATACAGGGCTATACATGGCTTTACATGGCTATACAGGGCTATACATGGCTATACACCGCTATACATGTCTATACACGGCTATACATGGCTATACACCGCAAAACATGGCCATACATGTCTATACATGGCTATACATGGCTATACATGGCTACACACCGCTATACATGTCTATACACGGCTATACATGGCTATACACCGCTATATATGGCTATACACGGCTATACATGGTTATACGCGGCTATACGCGGCTATACGCGGCTATACGCGGCTATACATAGCTATACATGGCCATACATGGCCATACATGGGTATACACGGCTATACATGGCTATACACGGCTACACATGTCTTAGCCTGCGAACGCAGACGTATTTCCGGCTGTCACTTGGTTCCGCCTAAAAAAAACGTCTGAGAACCCGACCCAGGAAACGATTTCTGTGACGTAATGACTTTTGTTTCTCCTTGGCCAATCAGATTCCATGATAG